GGTGGCGGCGGCTTCTAGCTTCGCCAAAGCGAAGGCGTCCTGGATCGCGGAGAATCCTCGGGGCTCCGGAGGAGTTCTAACCTACATCGTCCACATAGGACGACTCGGGAACTCAACTCCTACCCCGGGCAGCTCACCGATCCCCTTATGCCCGGGGGAAAGGTATCAAACCGTTTGACAGCTGATGCTTGCTGTCAAAGCGGCTTTTACACGAAAACAGGCGGGAGACAGCGGTCAGCTGTGTCCGACGAGGTCGCCTGCACACCGGAAGTTTCCCTTAAGGAATCTTTATTCGAGTAGCAACACATCAGCACGTACATAGTGCAAGCTAAAATCTGGCTTCCCCTCCCCTAAGCACATAGTATCAAAGTACAATTCCCTCCTCCGACTAACAGTCATAAATCACATTTTCTAATTAGTTTGAAATGCTGGCTTTCCCACCAGTTCTACAACCTGCCATGTCTTATCGTCTCTTATTACAAAGAACCTTGGCTCCCACCATTATAGATTATTGTTTTGTCTAACTAAATTCCCAACCACATTCCTCCCTCTTCCCCCATTATCATCTAATTCTAACTCTAAGAGTAAAACATAAAGTAAAGGAAAATGGCTGCATCTCCATATGTTGTCAAAGCAAGAACATTCGATGTTAGCTTTGACACAAGCTTTTAAACTGTTAATGCAAAAAAAGGGAAGATACTAATTGAGGCAGCAGAAAAAGATCCTTGCAGTGGCTCCCAAAAGGGGAGCCTTTCAACCATGAAGGTCTAAAGCCAGAGCAAAAGTTCTTTTAGGTGGAAAAGAAATTTATAATTTCCAATATTCTGTGCCAATTATTTTCAAATGTTGGATGTCATTTTGAGCTCCCAGTCAGGTTTGCACATTCCTCCCAAAATTCTTCACAGCCATGTTTTGCCTCAATACATAATCACTGTGTCAAGGTTCTGACTAATGAAACACTTCAAATAACTTCCAGGAATTGTTTATCCTAAAAGCCTTTATTAACAGTATAACAGATTGTCGGCACATCATGGATGGATGCCAAGATCTGAAGTCTCCACCCCCAGAGCAGTTATTTTTGCTCGCATTTTCCCTCCCTCTTTTGCTGTCATGAGTCACGTTCTCCAACCAGCCTGGGGGGCAAAGGTTCACTTCCTTCTGAAGCCCCCGCAAATTGCTCGCTCTCTCCATTCTCATCTGAGTTAACTCTAAAAGTGCCAGACAGTTCTGCATATTTTGTCAAAGCAAGAATATTCAATATTAGCAGCGTTGACACACTGGCTGCCCATTTTCAAGGGTTGTTTCCTGTCTTAGCTCTTAGTTCAGTGCATCCAGGTTTCTGATGTCCAATTGAGGTTAGCCAGTGTGCAAGCCAATCTATTAATTTTTAAAAAATTGCACACAGCCCTAGAACTTCCACTCTGAGTCCACCAGTGCAAGATATTCAGGGCTTGGGTTTTGGAAATCTCCTTTCTGCTCCCTCCTCAGTGAGAGCATATGAATTGCAAATCACCTGAGGGGGCCTGATTCCCTCCTCCTTTGAATTTGCAGCAAGTTGTGCATGCAAAGCTTTGGTGCCACAGAGCAAAAATCAGCCTGGGGAACTTTACTGAAGGTAGGTGAAAGGGATAGACTCAGTGTGATTATTAAGTGTGTGTGTGTGTGTGTGTGTGTGTGTGTGTGCAGCTACTAATACAAAACAGGCAATACAAACATTCTGGACAAATTTCCTTCCCACCAGACATAAGTCCAAGGTGTTCAGTACTTGCTGTGCCAACTATTCCCAAATGCCATTCCTCCATGAATCCATTTAACTGACTGATTACATTACAAATGAGGCAAGAAAGGAACCCTTACAACGAGTTTCCACCCTCCCCCCATAGTCTTCTACTTGTTTTGGAGTAGTACCATAACATAATATATCAATGGAAAGATAATTTAATCAAGAATTTAATGCAACAAAGTTTGTTCAATTATCTGTATTCTATGAAATGTTATAGACAAATAACCAGAAAAAGGAAGCACAACTTGCTTAGGTGGATATCAGGTAGCTTTCCTTCATCTGATTGTAGCCAATGAGCATGAGTGTTTAGAGAGCCACTCAGGTGTCATCTTGTTTTGGCAATGAGCCAATCAGATCACAGTAGGATTCAGTTATCGATGTCATGTATTGAAGCTGAGAGGAGGACATTTGTCAGTGTGTTATGTGATCGTTATCAAGTTGGTTGGGTTTTTTTGTGTTATTTCATTTAGTGAGCTTGTAAAACGTAATAAAAATTAAAGTAATGGTGCAAAGAGTTGACTGGTTGCCCAGAAAGCAATGTAAAATAGTATTATTAAGTGAACAAGGTTACAGTTATAAAGAAATTAGAAGAAAATTTGGCGGAAATTTAACCAAAGGTGGCATTTCTAAGTTTTTGAAGAGGTATAAGGAGACTCAGTCACTACAGAACCACACTGGTAAAGGCAGGAAAAGGTGCACAACAGCAAGTGATGATAGAAGAATTAAGAGACTGTGCCTATGTGACAGAAGAAAATAATCTGGGTGTATACAAGATGAAATGATGTAATGCAATGTGAAGTTGAGTGCCAGGACTGTTCGGCGCAGACTGCAGGAATTTGGCCTAAAATCTAGAATTCCACGAAAAAAAGCCACTTTTATCTCTCAAACAAAGGTTGAAAAGACTAAACTGAGCTAAAACCCACGTTACCTGGACAGAGGAACAATGGGACAGTGTTATTTGGAGTGATGAGACCAAGATCTCCCTGTTTGGTAGTGATGGCTTAAAATACCTAAGAAGAATCGGAGAAGATTTGCATCCTGATTGCATTACATGTACTCTGAAACACCCAGTGTTATGATCTGGGATTGTATGACATCAAAAGATGTGGGCAGAATTTGTGTGATTAATGGATATATAAATGGCCAAAACTACATTAATGAAATACTTGAGCCCAAACTGAAGCCTTCTGCACATGATCTTTTCCAAGACAATGAAGCATTTATATTTCAACAGGATTCAGCTCCATGTCATGTTGCTGCTGTGTGCAAAAAATGGTTTCAAGATAATGATATTCCACTGCTGGAATGGCCTGGGAATAGCCCAGACCTTAACCCAATTGAAAATCTACGGAGCTAACTAAAAAACTTGTTAGAAGCGACCCAGCAATAAAACCCAGTTAATAGAAGCAATAATTCAATCTTGGTTTCACATTAGAACAGCTGCAGAACTAAAGGACTTGGTTCACTCCATGGGAAGACGTTGTAAGGCTGTAATTCATGCTAAAGGTTACCCAACTAAGTATTAACTGACATGGTGATAATTTTTGTATATCTCATTTTTTTTTATGGTGATAATTTTTGTATATCTCGTTTTTTCTACATGTTTCACTTTTATTCTTTATAACTGGTATTCTAATAGCAAATCCTTCATAAACGTTATCGCATTACATTCTTGATTAAATTATCTTTCCATTGATATATAATTTTATGGTACTACTCCAAAACAAAGTGGTGTTATTAGCCATCAAACCTCAAATATACACTTTTTTCCAAAAGGTTTCCACAATTTTGGCCACTACTGTAAGAGTTTAACTCTTATAATTCTTTGAAAAAATTATTAAACTATGGGTGTCTTTTAACTGTTTCATTTGTAGAAGCGAAGAGGACAACTCGGTTTTTGAGTGGTATTCTTAATTTTCTATTCTTCTGTAACTCACGGCGTGAAGTCTACTTGGAAATCCAGAGTGCACATGTAAGATTAATTTTTGTTTTTTCCTTGTCAGATCTTCAGAAATGATAATTCTGACAAATTGAGAATAGTGTATTGCAGAAAGTTTCTTCCAGCTTCTTGCATCTTTTGTTTCACATTGTTACCTTTCTAGATGTTAATCTGTTACTCATTATGTGTGATGTGTGATACATTTAATGATTTTTTTGGTGCCACTTTAGTAAACAGTTTAGCTACCCTTGTCTAGAATGTGCATGAGATTACTTTTTCCTTCTAGTTTCATTTCTATTAGTTTTTATTATATTAAATAAAAACTTCAATAGTGTTTTTTAAAAGAAACAATATATACTAGTTGGGCTTTTTACAAATTCAGCCAGTTCAACAAAAAGCCAAACTTTAGTATTTGTCAAATTCTAAATAATATTAAACTTATTTGATGATCTTGAGCTAACCTTTAACTTGTTCTGCAACCTTCCTGACAGATAAAAGTGCAAAAGAAAGTAAAAGAGTCTTATGTAGCTTTTTGGTGAAAGGATATATAAATCTGCAAGAAAAAGGGCCAAGTATAATTTGGATTCATTCCCTTTTTTTTCAGTAGTAAAACTATCTTACATTGCAAAGCTGCTGCTGTCTCATCTTGCCTATAATATCAGTTATGTTTTTTCTTAAAACTAAAAAATTGGATAACTAGATTATTAATAAAGGAGAATATTTGTAACTCAGGGTTGAAATGAGGGGTCCTTGATGCTCTCTGAGCTTGCTTGTTTTCTTGAAGATGTTTCATTACCCTAACTAGGTAACATCATTAGGGCTAGTAAGGAGTGCTGTTGCTGTCCGTTTATATTCTGGTGTCTTGCCTGTCTGTATGAGTGGGGGTGGTCTTAGGGATTTTTTGGTTGGGCCGTTTACTAACGGCTCTTTGGCAATTTCTTGATTGGGGTATTGCTTACTTGATTGTTGGTCTGAAGTTGACCTTGACCAGGCCAAATCCAAAAATGCTAGGGAATTTCTAGAAGCCTGGCACTCTGACAAATCAGCCATTAATAGACATATGGACATTAACAACATCTATAGGCTCTGCAAAATAGACCATTAACCAGCCCTAAAGAGAAAAAGATTCCAGCACCCCTCCACCAGTAATCAGCACTCGGATCAGCATAGATTACCACTTGGAATTCATCAATCATCTAGGCATCAGGTACTCAAGCAAAGATAATCCCACTTTTTAGAAGAATTATCCATATACCATTCAAAAGAGACTATGAGACAAAAAGGGAACAAAAAGACCAAAATATTTCCTCACCAGGAATCAACACCCAGAGGAGCAGAGAACACCAAGATTAACATTAGACTAATGATCAAGAAGCAAGCAGTATCCCAAACCCAGGAACTGCCAAACAAGCTAGCAGTAAACAGCCCAAGAAAATAACCATCAAGACCACTCTCACCAATACTGACAGGGCAAGCCACTAGAATATAAAACAAGAGCAAACTCCACTACCTACTGGCACTGATGATGTTACCTAGTTTGGGTAAAGAAATGTCTGCAAGAAAACAACCAAGCTCAAAGAGCACCAAGGACCCCTCATTTCAATCCTGAGCTACAAATATTCTCTAAAAGTTAAATTACTTTGCTGAAAGTCCTCCTATCCTCACGTTTAAAGAACATTCATCTGCTTAATACTCTGACCTGCTGAAGAAAAAAAAGCTTTTTGAGATGTAGATCTGCTGCTATTAAAAAAGTGACATTTTTCTCTCTAGTTTAATTAATCATGGAGACACTATATCTTGCTTTCATGTATCTGTAGCCAATATTGTCAGTTCAAACTTTGTGGCAAAACCTGGAGCTTTTACTGCCTGATTTGTAGCTCAGCATAAATGTATTAAATAAGGATGTACTCTGACCAATATAATTTCATTTTATAGTCAGTTGCAATTTTTCTATAATATATTGAATTGCATGTAATGTAAATTCTTTTTCAAAGAAAACATCAATGGAGAAAGAGCAACAACTTCAGGTGGCAATCCAGGATGCAACAGTGAAGCTTGAAAAGATGGAGTAAGATAACTTGAATAAGTTCCCCATACTAAAATTATTAAGAATCAGTTCATAGGACTGAAGAACCTTCTATCGGGCATAGAATTTGTAATCTCATTTTGAAGAATGCATATCTGAATTCTGCTTAACATGCTTTTCACATAGATTTTCTTGTTAACGGCATTGAATCAAAGATTTGCCATAGCATGTTGTTACAGGGAGTGTTGTAAATTGACTCTGGATGTTCAGTGCTTAAGACTGTTGATAAACAGGTGCTGCTAGGGATTTCTTTTGAAGTATTTCTCATAAGGAAATTTTGGGGACAGTCCTTCAATAGGTTTGTTCTTTATTACTTCTTGTCACTTATGGGAGATTATATTTATCTGTAATAAGTGTTATAATATGAAATTAAAGCCTGCATGACATGATGAGTCAGGACATGGTCGGAGAAAGGAAATAGTGATTTCTTTCCATGTTTTCTCAAATTTAGTTTATTTCTTCCAAGGAGAAAGTCACTAAGATTCCTTCTCCTCCAGTTTTTCCATTACATATACCTATGCTCTTCTGCTCATACCTCTTAATGAATAAGGAAAAAAGAAGAGCTCCTTATTTATGTGTGTGTGTGTGTGTTTGATTCCCAATGGAAAGCATGGTTGAAATGTTTTGGGAAGGACACATTCTCACACTGGCTTATTGGAACCAAAGTGGTTCTGTTTCTATAATATAGCCTCAACATTATAGGGATTTGATTTCAGTTAAAAAAGGAATGAGATTGTGCTTTTCTTGGACCAAGTTTCTGGAGCTCCAGTCACCATTTTAGGTGCAAATAACAATTGAGTTCCTTGCCTAGATGTGGCTTGGGGTCATGTGTTTCTTTGTGTCTATCATATTGGTTTACCTCCCCTGCTATTTTCATGCAAGATCTTTAAATTTCATCCTCTCCAAATTAAGATTTTTTAAATCTTGTGTATTGAATTGAAATTGTCTAAGCAAATATCTATAGAAAATTTTTTCATATACATATCTAAAATTTTACATTAAATATATTATATTATTGCAGAACTTAAGATTGCCAAATAGCTTCATCAAAAAGAAGCAGCTTTTTCTGTATGCTATATTTATATGTCAAATTCATTTTTCTCTAAACTGAGCACTATTTCTATATACTCAGTATTATTCCTTCAGACCAACAAGTAGAATTCAAGGAGCTGTCTCAAGAAATTCAAGAACTACAGAATAAACTCAATCAAGAATATCGGCAGAAAACAGTATGTGTTCTTCTTACTAAAGTTCATGTGATGTCCAGAAGCTATGCTGTGTTTAGCTGTCCATTACACAACAACTTAAGAGAAGTTATAAAATATATACAGATAGACCTTGACTTATGACAAGTCTATTGGACTTATGACAAGACTATTGAAAGTGATGTTGGACCTACCAGGGGGCTACTTATGACCTAGATTTGAAGTAACGATGGTTGCAACACCCCCTCCCTAATTGCATTTATAGTCGTAGGCAGCATTTTGTAACCACAAAGTTTTTGCCAAAACTTGGCATTTACTTTTGGTTTTCAAAAAACTGTGACCCTATTGCAGGGCTTTTAACTGGTGGTACGATTACCTCCTGTGGTACTTTGGCAGGTGGTACGCGACCGTCCTAGAGAAGTGTAGTGGGGAAGAGGGGAATGAGCCAAAGCGACCCAAGCCTGAGGGAGAGGCAGCTGCAGCTGCAGGACTATCTGGGCTTGGCAGAAGTCCCAGAAGCCAGCAGGGCTCCAGCTCATTGGCTCCAGCTGATTGGCGCTTCTGGAAGCAGCGCGGAGCTGAAAATGAACTGAAGAAAAGGGGGAGAGGAGAGGCTATAAAAGGAGGTTTGGGCGGGAAAGGGGAAAAAAACAACATGGAAAGAGAAGGAGAGCTCAGCAGGCAGGGAGGAAACGGACAGGGAAGAAGGAGCAGCTGTTGCTGGAAGAAAAGGCCCCCTGGTTCATTTTTTCCAGCCGGGAGAATGCAATCAGTGCTGCTGAAATGAAAAGCCAGCAGACAAGCATGTCAGAAATGAGGTGGGTTTATTTAGTTCTGGATCAGCTGGCAGCTTGATTGGATTGCCATAAGGATTTTTCTACAGTTTTTACAGTGTTTTTGTAATTCAGAGGCTCAGTTTGTGTGCTTTGGTTATTGGAATATTTTAGTCTGTATTTTAGGCTAGCAATGAATCCAAAGTGTTGACTTCCATAGGTTTAATCCCTTTAAACAAATGTAATTAGTTTTACCCCCTTATCTTGAGTCTGTCTATGGCAGGCATGTCAAACTTGCAACGTCGCGCGGCATATTGCGACTTTTTCCCCATTGCCGGCAATGGGGTGGGCGCGGTTTTGATGACCTATCCGGCCTGTAGGCCAGCAGTTTGACATGCTTGGTCTATGGCTTTTAGAAAGTTTTCTTTGAAGGTAAACAGGCTTAATTTAAGGCTAAAGCTTTTCGCAATTGCTGGAGCATTTCAGTCTTGGGTTGCAACATTGTGACACGTGACACGCCTGAGGCAGCTTAAAGAAAAAAAGCCCCGGAGTTTATGTGTTTTTTTATTTTGTGAGCCTTTCTTGCTTTGCACTTAATTCCTGTACAGCGAAGGAATTGGGGGGGGGGGGGAATGCATTCTTACTACACAGTGGAAGGAGAGCTCAGAAGGGAGAGAAGAAGGGCCGACCAGCTAGCTCAGGGGTCTACAAACTTAGCAACTTTAAGACCTGTGGACTTCAACTCCCAGAATTCCTCAACCAGCCATAATGGCTGAAGAATTCTGGGAGTTGAAGTCCACAAGTCTTAAAAGTGCCAAGTTTGAAGACCCCTGAGCTAGCTGGTAGTGGTGCATATTAATAAACATGGATAAATTCATCATACATTTGTCAAGGCAAAGGGAAAGTGATTCAGCAAAGGAACCGCCACTGAAGAAATTAAAACTCGTACTTTTTCCCTTTTTTCTACAGTTTGTAATATTTTATTAGATTATAGAATAAAATGCAAAAATACAAAAGCAAATAGTAGGACACAGTGGGAGGAAAAAGGGGGGGAAAGTGAGGGGGAGAAGGGAAAAAGGACATACTTCCTCTGTTGCAGTAGAAGGAAGCATTAACATTGAACCTCAACTTTTTACTTTTCCATAATATTATAAACTAGCCACTTCTATAACAACAAATGAATCTAATCAGTAAAACCCAAAATCCTGCCCCCCCTTTTTTTAGTTATCAAATTTTTGACACCTTGCTAAGTACTGGTGGTACTCAAATATTGTCATGTCCTAAAAGTGGTACAATCTGCGAAAAGGTTGAAAAGCCCTGCCCTAGTGAATCATTGGTTTGCTTAATGACCGTGGGGTTTGCTTAATGACTGCTCCCAAAAAATGGTAAAATTGTGTCAGTCATGTGACTGACCCATTTTATGACCATGTAGTGGTCATTATTGTTAAAGATGTATATGGTGTAGCACCATGACATATTACACAACACTTTGGCAGGATTGAAACTGTCCATTCATTTGAGTCAACTAGATTTCCCATGCCTGTAGCAGCCACATTTTCTGAAATTCTGTCTTCCCACACTATACCTTGTTAATATTCTGTAAGCAAGCTAAGGCTATATTGTTTTAGCAATCTTTTGGTCCCTAGATCCTCAGTAGGCATATTTATCCTTTATATTTAAAGTTTGATGCTATAATTCAATATTTTTATTTTGTGTATTGTTATTTGCCACTTAAAATCTTCTGGGATTGGGACAAATTATAAGCATTGCAAATAAGTTTTCTTAATTGTCATAAATTTTTTTTGTAGAATGTTTTGCAAGAAGTGATCCACCAAAAAAGAATGGAAATTGCAGAAAAAAATCAAAATTTAGTAAGTAGCATTCGTGCAAAGTTCAATAATTGTAAGAATCTAATTACAAAAACTGGTAAGATTCAGTATATGCTTATCCATAATAGTTTACATACTATATAATGTGAGTGTCATGTTTCCAACAGATGAAACTCTTCAAAGAACTTCGAGGCATTGTTTACCTTATCATCTGTTATTTCAAAAAACCTTGGTTCTCACCCTACTTACAGTAATGTTATATCTAACTAAACTCCCATGCACATTCCTCCTCCCCCCCCAGTATCATCTAATTCTAAGAGTAAAAAATAAGAAGGAAAATGGCTGCATCTCCATGTTGTCAAAGCAAAAACATTCGATGTTTGCAACATTGACATCTGGCCCCCCTTACAAAAAGGACAGATCCTGTAACATAAACAAAAGCATATGTTAGGGACTGTCTCTCGGTTTGTTAGGGTGTTTCCTTTAGAACCTTGTGATGAGTCTGTCGGCTTTCACATCGCTAGCTTTCACCCAAGTGGCTTCAGACAGTGAGTATCTCTTCCATTGTACTGGGTACTACAATTTCCCTTTAAAAATTCAAAAATCAAGAATACGCTTTACTTCATAGTGAGTCTGACCCGCTACCACAAGTGGTCCGGGTGCCTTCTTAAGGGGAGGTTTTAAAGTGGAGCCCCGAAAAGGTTTCAACAAGCTGCAATGGAAGACAGGGTGCACTGTCCCTAAAAGCCTAGGGAGTTTTAATTCTACTGTGACCAGGTTAATGATCTTTACGATGGGGAAAGGCCCCAAGAATTTCGGTCCTAATTTCTTGCTGGGTAATTTGAGGCATAAATATTTAATCGACAGATAAACCTTTTCACCAACTTGGAATGTTCTTTGAGGAGCCTTCTTTTTATCTGCCTGCTTTTTATAGGTCTCGGAAGTCTTTTTTAAATCAGTCTTCATAGCTCTCCAAACTTCTTCCCACCCCCTCACCCATTGAGCAAGTGTCTGAGAAGCGGAGGGCACTTAAGGTTATTCAGGTATCGGGCTGAACTCTTCTCCTGTGGCTACTCTGAAAGGTGTGAAGCCAGTGCTGCTGTGAACAGAGTTATTGTAAGCCACCTCTGCAAAAGGGAGGAGATCGGTCCAGTCAGTCGGTTGGTAGGAAATATAGCACCTGAGATATTGCTCCACCATCTTTTTTTTTTTTTTTTTTTCAATATAAAATTTTATTGTTTTTATCATAAAAAAAAAAGAAATACATCACAGATATTACACAATGTTATAACCCATCCCCCCACCCCCCGGACTTCCCAAACCAACCTAGGCTAATATTCAAATACAAGTAAACAAATATTAATATCTCTAACTCCAAAGTCTAAACTTAAACAATCCA